AGTGTTGCCAAAAGCTTATATTTTCTTTGAAATTAATACCGACTTTTAAGTGCATAATCGAAAAAAATTGGTACTTTTGCATATACATAAAAGCATAATTTCTAATAATTAAATTAGCCGAAAAAAAAAAAAACAAAGAGAAAAAGAAAAAAGAGAGTTTTTATGTATCATCTTCAACATATTTAAAAAAAAAAAAAAGATTACTTACATATATTTACCTATGGATGTAAGGAATGCTGTACTTCAGTTAAAGAGAAGATCTTGTAATTACCGTATATACTCGCGTATCATACGACATTTGAAGGCCTAATTTTGAATCTAATTTTAAGGGGTCGCATCATACACGAGATATAAAATTAACGTATGTACTGCTGACCCTCTCTACGCCGTTGACTAAATTATATATCCATTTAATGTAGTTAAATTACCTTCAGAATTAGGTCTTCAAATGTCGCATGTTACGCGAATATATACGGTAGTTAAAAAAATAATACATTTTTTTTAAAGCAGGGCTGATTGAATAAGCGGACTGTTAGCGCCAATTAAACTGAAAAGAAAGCCATTCGTTTGATATCTGAAAATATGACGTAGTTTTTAAGGCAGCCAAATTGCTAATATAAAAAATGTTTCTGGGTGCGTGTGTTAGTATCTGCGCGCGTGAATAAATATTTAATTTATATATATATAATAACTAGAGATCGTGTAAATTAGTTAAAAGAGCGAATTAACAAAGGATCTTGAAACCTGTGAATGATTTTTTTTTATAATGACACTGTTTCAACGTGAAAATCTTTAATCAAAGACATTTAAATATTATTTACACACACATATACATCACACACACACACACACACATATATATATATATATATATATATATATATATATATATATCTTATATAATGATTAAAAGATAATTGCTTTTGTTAGATGGAGTTTTGAACCGTTGTATTTTGATTAAAGATATTTTAATGGAATTCTCCGACGTTTTTATAACACTAATGGACGCTACTTTGAATAATAAGAATGTATTTAGCTCTAAGTTGAAATGATAACCCATCTTCCTGTTGTAACCTCTTGATTGAGTTTTCTATCTACTGCCCCCTCTTTTTTAAACATTCACCGTTCTCTTGATTTTTTTTTTGAATGGACTTTAAAGATGGAAGCCAAAGTATGAATATTGGTACCATTACTGAAGGCCTGAATGATCTTTTTTCCTTTTCACCATTGCTCAGTTGGGAAGATATAGTGGG